TGCTTATCTTTCCTGCCAAGGAGGCGTGCGCCCTCTTACTAATTCCCGACTTGGCCACATCCGCTTTTTCTTCTGGCCTTGACGGTTAGGGGCGTTACCCCTCTGGGGAGCCAGGGTGTCTCCCCTCGCTGCTGGAAAAGCGTGATGTGATGTAATGTAATGGACGGTGCCGCCACGTGAATTGAAGTTGTGCCTACGATGAAGGTGTGGACAGGTCCCCACCATGCACAACCTGCACAAATGGGGAAAGAGCAAGAGCACAGCGTGCCGCGTGTGCGGAGACCCGGATGAGACAGTTGAATGGGCATGCCACACTCGCTGTCATGCCCGGCGCTGACACCTTGGTTCAGGTGCTCATGATTGTACGTGATGAAAGTTTTGGGGGAGCTTGGGGTTCACTAGGCAGGAGTGTGGCTGGCAACACTGATATTGCTGTGTTGTTTTGTAATGTATGTACTGAACGTTTCCTCACGACAACGTAAGAGACAATCTGGATGCTCCGTACCACCTCTGTATGTCATGCGCATCGGCAGGCCCGGATTGGTGCAACATTTCCAGTGCTTGCCACACATCCAGCACCCAGCATTGTTACACTCGAGCAAAAAGGTAATTGTGGCAATGCCCCTCCCCCAATCGCAGTCCGATATCCTGTAGGGCCGCCACAAGCCCGGTCGCTTGGTCTTCAGGCGCGCATGTAGTGATGTCGTAAGAAACAAGTTCCAAGCCAGCACTCCGCAACAAGTGCAAAAGATTTGCTAGTGCTGACAGCTCTGCTGCCCCCTTCAGCCATTTTTTGCTGTAATGAATCTCAATGCCGAACTGCTGAACATGAGAAAAGAAATCCGGGTCCTCTGCAGCAACATCACGAGCAATTGAGTACTCACATCCTTCACAATCCATTTTGAGCACGGCGATTTGATCGTGCTTGAGCCACACCCGTAGTCCAGTCACCGACGTGACAAACATGAACTGCTGGTTGTCAGAATGTGTGAGGCTCTTTGCTGCGATATGATGGAATGTGACTTTGGGGTGCAAAAGAGATGGGTGCTGGACTGTTGGATCAGCAGCAAACCCAAAGCATCCCATTTTGTTGGCAACGTCCACATCAAATGAAAAGTCATGGGCGATGCCAAAAGAGTAGAAATAGCAGGGCACAGAAGGCTTGATGGTTGTGCACAGCTCATGGCGCCCAAATCCACTGCCAAAATATTCGGGCCGACAGCGAGTACTGAGGTTGCGGTTGCTCGTCAGCAGAGCATTGAGACGTATCAACGGTTGTAGACCGTTGCTGTGGCCACCCATCATGATGTCCCTGCGTGGTTGGGAAAAATCTACCAAAAGCACGCACAGTCCTATGGCACAAGCAGCACCGAAGATGATGCGCGCGTTCATTGCGTATGGATATGCTGCCTGCGGTTGAGAGAGGGATGTGTGTGAGGAAGATAGCCGAGTCGTTGTGTGTGAGCGAGTGGTTGTACACAGCCTGCCGTCGTACCGTTTTTCTTGATCGGCTGATTCCGGGCGATGGCAGGGGAGGGGGTCTATGAATTGAAATGAAAAATAAGCAATGTTGTGTGGTCGGATCCCCAATATGACAACAAAACAATGCAATCGTCGCGCCCGAATACAGTACCTCACATCCGTATCCATCCCCGGGACTGAGGGCCTCAGTCCGATCGCTCCCCAACCTGAGCGATTTGCTTTGCTGGGCAGGTCGTGCGGCCAATAGCTCGGCAGAAATCGATGCAACAACGTGAAAAAATAATTTGCACGGAGCCAGATCATTGGCAGGCTATACTGGCTCGTATTTTGGCAGTGGATTTGGGCGCCATGAGCTGGCCAGCGGGAGGCCGGTTCCGACGATCGACGTATGAGTGCCCCCGCGTGAGATGCTGAGCATGCAGGCGTGCACGTGGTAGAATGCCTCAAGCAGTTACTGTTGGTTAGCCTCCATGCGATCCAGCCCGAAGATGTCAATCTTTCAACTCTCAATGAGGCAGGGTGCCAGCTCATCGGACGCAACGGCAGCTACGGTGACGGCAAGTAAACATTCTAAACTACAGCTGCACGTAGTGTTGATGGGGGCTTTCATGGCTTCACATAGGCCGCCGCAGACGGCATGATGGTGCTGGGCGGGTGGCCACGTGTGCGTGTTGCATGCACCGTCATGTTTGAAAATCCAAAACTTTGATGAACGGCCGTGACTGAAATTGCGGTGCTTGCCCACGCCGAGTGTTTGGTGCCCCCGGGCCACTTTTTACGTGCTGTTCCACACGTTCCTATTTTGCAGTTGTGGCACAGCTGGAAACTCGGTGCCAGCGCAGGTCACCACGCCTGCGCTGTCGCCCAGGTGGTCGTCCCCGTCGCAAAGCCACCGCGTTTACGCGCCCGCACATGCAGGCGCAGCTGGCAGTGCTGGCGGGGGCAGAATTAGAAGCAGCAATGGATGGCGCAGCAGAAGCCCCAGTAATGAACCCATCAGCAGAGAATGGACCAAGCATTGCCAGAGGTGCTGGCAGTGGACGCCACGCAGGTACGCCGGCTTGTACGACAGTATGTTGACTTCGTTCGTTGTTGCATTGGCAGCATGTGCAGGCCGTGTGGCCCCAGGCGTGAGCGTCAGCTGAATGTATTTTTGCATTGTTACTTCTGTCTTAAATGGCATTGCATTCTGTGCGAACTTCGGCAGGGCGATGGTTTCATTGGAGTTTATGAAGCCCCCGCTGAGCGGGTGATGCTAATCAGGGCGCGGAAGGCGTCGTGAGGGCCGCAGCCAGGGCTGGTGGCAACGCACCTTCACATGCGGGACCACGTGATGGTCCACACCAACAGCACAAAGTTGAGTGTAGTAGCATCAACGAAACAACCTCCTAACTTGTGATGGCAAGGGGATAAACTTGCAAATTGTCACTGCGCGCGCTTGCAATGGCCTTATTTGAATCCACATAATAATCCCCTGTCCCTCGTTTACGTACATGCTTAGTTTGCAGGCTTCTGGGACATTCTATGGCATGTACTGCATGATTTGGCGAGCAAATCAACTGCGCTGCGGGGTGTTGCATGCCATTCGTCCCGCCTGCCTGTTCCAGACGCTGCAAATTGACTGGCCACCTCGCCCATCGCTTGTACTGTCGCGCAGCGCAGGTATTGGTCCAAACACATATTCAAGGCGCACTAGGAACATGTGGGCATCAACATGTCAGGGCAGGACAGCAAGCACGTCCATACTGTGGAAATCAGTTGGACACAAACCAACAAACCAACAAACGACAATTGCAGCGGCCATGGCACTCGTCGCAGAAGTGCAGAAGCCCCGCCGGCAAATGTCACCTCCATTTAATTACATTGCAAGTAGGAGGCGCAACTTACGCAGGCATGATGAAGGCCATGACCGCTCCAGGGGTACCCAAAGAGAAACACAAGGCAATAATTTATGACAGCCGTGATCAATCTGTGGCGATACCGTGACCCGGTGCATCCGTGACGGCCATGACGGCCGTGACTGCTGGTCACAGAGAGAGAGAGAGAGAAAGAGAGAGAGAGAGAGAGAGAGAGAGAGAGAGAGAGAGAGAGAGAGAGAGAGAGAGAGAGACTACGCT